GGTGGATAAATTTGCAAACCTATCAGAAAGGGAAGCAGCAAGAAGCTATGTTGGTCAGACACTCAAGACAGAGGTGAAGACTAATGTTTCTGCATGCTGCCTGGCATGTGACATCCTAGTTCAGCAACCAAGGATCAAACGCATGGCCCCTGCATTGGAATGACAGAGTCCTAACCAAAGGAAATGGCTACCCACTCCAGTATTCTTGCCTGGAAAATTCCATTGACAGAGGAGCCTGGTGGGCCACAGTCCTTGGGGTCACAAAGAGTTGGATGTTCTCTTTATAATGGTCTCACCATAACAACCACCACAAAGTGGTAATTATGTCAGGTGAAGGATGTGTTAACTAACTTTATTGTGATGAACATTTTCCAATATACACATGTATCATCAAACTGTACATTTCAGATTTATGCCATGCAACTTGTCAATACCTCAATAAAGCTGGGAAAGAAATCGGAATGATTGGAGAAGTTTCCCCCATATTTTCTGTAGCTCCTCCCAGATAAGTGTGTATGATGCACATTTCCCTACTTGTTTAACAGATTGAACACCCCCTGACGGCTATGCCCCCGCCAAATGGAAGATGGTAACTACGTGATGACCACCAGTAAATAGCCCCAGGACTTATGGAGCCTAAGGACTGAGAATGTCAACCCTTGTAACATCAGTCTGTTACCTTCCCATCAGCCAATCAGAGAACCGTGTACAATTCACAGCATACCCTGTGATGCCCCCACCCCCTCACCTGGCCTTTAAAAATGTTTTGCTTAAGACCCTTTGGGGAGCTTGAGGTTTTTCAGAGCATGAGCCACCTGTCTTGTGTCTTTGCGTGGCCCTGAAATAAACCTTTCTCTGCTCCAATGCTGATGTTTCCATTTGCTTGGCCTCACTGTGGGTTGAACAAGGGAACTGACTCTAACAAATATACAGAGGGGTCCAGGAAATGGAGCTTGGCTGAAACTTGTACATCTTCACACTGCAGGCGAGTTCTTCTTGCTAGGTGCAGATACCTAGGCAGTGATGCAGCCTTTCAGTGTTTTGAGGAGTAAATGGAATATGTGTGAATAAAGGGGGAAAAATGCATTAGTCTTAAGATTGATTTTGGTGAAGGAAGTGTTAGTTGCTCAGTCGTGTCTGACTTTTTGTGACCATATGTTCTCTAGCTCCTCTATGCAAGGGATTCTCCAGGCAAGAATACTTGAGTGGGTTGCCATTCCCTTCTCTAGGGGATCTTCCTAATACAGGGATCAAACCCAGGTTGCCTGCATTGCAGGCAGATTCTTTACCACTGCACTACCAGGGGAGTAAATAATTGGAGAAGAGTTGTGGTCCAGGGAGTTTTTTGTTTTGGAGCACAGAGAAGACATGAACAAGCTTGCAGCCTAAAGCAGGAAGCAGTGGAGAGGAAAGGACAGAAGCAGGAAAGAGAAATAAAGGCAGCAGCCCACACGGGCAGAGGGAGCTGAAAGAAGGCCACAGGGCTCGTTGCCCAGGTGCTACTGAGGTCAGCGGAGCGTCGGCTAGACCGCGAGGCATTTACTCATCCTCCTCACAGCCTCCATCCATCCTCAGAAGCTAACTGCATGATAGGATGCTTTGCAAAATGTGCTTGGTGTCCTAGGGCCTCTCCCAGGAAAGCTGGGAGCTTTCTCACTTCAAAAGCTTTATTGATTTTAGTTCCTTTATACAGCTCTTTTGGAGTCACTGCCTGAGTGGCTGCTCTGTGTGAGGCCATGTGGGCGTGGGTGCCACTTGGCGAAGGTTGGGGTTGGGGAGGTGGGATGGGGTCCACACACTGGCAAATGCAGAGCCACAATGCAGTATGATGTGGTCCTATATCTAACCCAGACCTGGGGCACATTTAAAACTTCTTGGAGGGAGTTCCCTGGTGGTCCAATGGTTAAGGCTCTGTGCTTCCACTGCAGGGCACACCAGTTCAATGCCTGGTCAGGGAACTAAGATCCCATGTGCAGTGTGGTCATTCTCAGGGTTGGGTGATGTGCTTTCCTAGGTTTGGAGCAGAAAAGAAAGGTGCAGTTCATTGTTCCAGCACAGTGACAAACCTCATGTGCAGGGAAATGAAAACAAACACTGGGCATCATCCCTAAGTTTTCGTTTTATTTTGAATTTCATCAGAGATGATTTTAAAAAGCACCCTGCAACCTACTCTCACATCAAAGAACATGAGAAATAATACCTCACTTCAAAATGAGCAGGAATCATGGACTGCATGGTGTTCCTACAAATGGTATAAATATACTTTGTGAAATGTTACTACTTTGTTCTAAGGGCCATCTTCTGGACTCATACTGGTGGGAATATATCATCATAACTCCAAACTAGCCCAGAGGCACGAGCATGGGAGTGCCTGTGATGGTGGGACCTTTGCATATCTGAAGAATGGACAGAAGTGGAGGAGAAGACTTCAGTGGGGGACTCATTTTGTTTGACCCAATGGATTTAAAAGGAGAAATCCAGAATATTAGCCCAGTTTCTACAATCAAACTAAAACCACCTCCAAAGAGCTATAGATTCTCAGCTTATCAATTGAATACTGTATGGTCTTTGGTTGCTGTTGTTTAGTTCTTTGTTTGTGTTTTGTTCTTTAGTTAATCTAACCCAAATAAAGACTCAAGGCCAGAAGATGGTGTGGACTGAACTGGAAGGTGAGAGAAATTGCCTCGTCTCTAAAGATAAATGGGGCTTTGCTGGTGGCTCAGGTGCTAAAGAATCCGCCTGCATTGTAGGAGATCTGGTTCGATCCCTGGGTGGAGAAGATCCCCTGGATAAGAGAATGGATGGATCCAGAGTCAAAAATATAAGCAGATGATTATACTGGAGCTTAGCCTAATAGATTAAAACAAAAAAACAATTTCAACTACCACCAGAGAAACAGCTAAGGGGACACAGAACAGGTGTCCTTGCCTGAGAGTATGGTACACACCATATAAATATGCCATGAGAAAATAGATGGTAATGGACACTTGACATTTGTTAATCATAATCAACCAATAATTTTCTTTTAATTTAATTGTAAACTTAATACTACAGAAAGAAGCACATTCCTCATAAAACCTGCTACAAGTCTGCTTATGACTTTGGAAGTATCATTAACAATCTTTGCTTTTTAATTGACTTTTGATTTGATAGCTGAAAGCCAAAAATGATATATTGTTTTTTCTCAGAATTTCAGGTCAAGCTTTTTTTGATCCTATGATTATGAGTTTGTTTTATTTATTAAATTTCCTGGAAGGGGACATGGTTGTTTTTAGAGAAATAGACACTCCTGGGAAGTAAGAAGGAATAACCTATTTCCCTTTTCATAATTCACGAGTATTTACTGACTTTTATAATAGTCTGCTTGAGCTTCCACAGAAATACACCACAAACTAGGTGGCTTAAATAACATAAATTTATTTTTTCACGGTTCTTGAGGCTGGAAGTTCAAGAGGAAGTTACCAAGTTACGTTTGATTTCTGACAAGGGCTTCTTCCTGACTTGTACATTCGCCCTGCATCCTCCTCTGAGCTCACGTGGAAGGAGAGAGTGCTAGCTCTCCTCTTTTCCTTATAAGAACACCAATTTTATGAGATTAGGGGCTTATACTTATAATCTTATTTAATCTTAATTACTTCCACAAAGGTCCAGCTCTAAATACAGTCATGATAAACTTCTTTTTTTCTATAGTTTCATGTTTCTAAGGTTTTTCTAAAAAGTCTATTTAAACTTCTAAAATGTTGCTGAAAACTTGAGAGATCTCTGGTTTGGGTAAATGGTCCAAAAATTCCTAAGGCTTCAAATTTGAGTCAGAAATCCCTAAAACTAATTCTGTATAACCTGTTTGTGATATGTTGTGCATTTAGTGGCCTTAAAATATTTAGAAATAAAGCAAACTTAGCGTAGTTTATGAATTCATTTTATAAAACAGAGAAATTGTTTACCATAAAGGAAGAATACTAAGTGTGAGAATTTGGACTTAAATGATGAAGAAATGGTTTATGACAGGTTAGTCCCCTCATAAGGTCCCAAAACAGCTTTGATGAAGAGAAGTGAAGGGCTGCCTGAGGAGATAAGGTGATTGTGAGGGGACTGAAATCTCATTTATTTTGTTTCTTTGCATAATAAAGTCTAGAAGAGATAAACCAAGAATCAGAAAAGTGCAATACAGTCTGTATAAAACCAAGCACTTTTCAGATGAAAGGAAATTTCATTTTCAACTGTGTGACACATTATTTTGTCATGTAGAATTTAAAACCATGAAACATTGTTTTTATATATTTCATAAGAACAAATTCAGTTTAGGAGAAAGCACAGATGAGAAGATTGGGTGACTATAATGATGATCATAAACACTCAAGAACACTCCCATGATTTTGTCCCAAATGGACTAAACAGAAATTAACCGTCAAAGAACAATCCAGAAAGGCCTCCATGAGGAGCTTTCCCATTTTCATAAAACTAGATTAAACTTCTTGACCTATAGTTACGGAAATTTTACACCTGTCGAGTTGCTGCCATCAGTACACCATTTCACTGTGCAATCCAGCTTGTTTCTCACACGCAGTAGCAGGTTTGAACAAACCCTCAATCTGAATTTGTCCTTCTCAGTTTTAACACGCTTGCTGCAACTTTGCCTCCTAGATTCATGTTATCTAGTATCCTCAAAACATGGGTTATTTCCAGGACAAACTTAAAAAAATTTTTTTTTCTTACAATATCTGTGGAGAGATGGCAAAGTGAATTTCATCTATGTTGCCTGGGCTGTATGTTCTGTCTGTATTTTCTGAGTCCTAGAAACAGGTCAGAGACCACCTCTGGAACATTAAAAGGGATGGAAATAGTAGCAAAGGAATCAGCTTCTCGAAAGGTCCACTGGCTTCTTGGTAGGAGCACTTCTTTCTGAGAAACTTATTTCCACTTTGTCCTCTAACACTCTGGACCCTCAAAGCAACGTAGAAGTTCCCAACCACAGAAACTCATTCAGGTCCTGGCCAGGCTCTTACCTCCTGAGCTGCTGGAGGGCATGATCCTAAGATCAGGAGCAAAGTATGGGTGTCCCCGCTCACCACGCCTTTTCAGCATCATACTGGAAGCCTCACTATGCCTTTTCAACATCAAGCTGGAAGTTCCTGATAATGCAAGAAAGCAAGAAAATGAAATACAAGGTAAGCAGGCTGGGTAGGAAGAGATAAAATTGTCTTTGTTCACAGATGACATGATTACCTAGGTAGAGATTTTTCGGTCTCACCTGCAGTTTTTTAGTCTACACCTGTTTAACCCGTCTGGGACAGTTTTTCTTTGACAAAGATAATCTTTCACATTTTTAAATATCCTAACATGAAGGACTTTTATCTCTGCTTGGCCTTAGAGGAATTTTTTTTAGAAGAATGTTTTTGCTTTCATGAATTTCTGATTCATAAGGTCAGTTTCAGAAGATAAAAGAAATGTTTCCCTTAAATTTGGAAGCTCGTACTTCTCTGGGATAAAGATCAAACCAAAGTCCTTTAGTTTTCTCAGACTCAAATACACCCAAAGTCAGGCTAAATCGCATGCCAAAATACCTAGGAACTACACTAGGTGGACTGAAACCATTTTTTTAGAGATGAAATATCTTAAAGAGATTGAATTGATCTATGGGACAGGAAATAAAATGATTCAATTCTCTAAATTGAGGTTCCCTTAGCTAAGCAATACTTTTCATGTATGTCATGTATTTTTCATGTGTTCAAGGGATCAATCAACAATATTAACAATAAGCACATACACACTTACTCTGAAATAAAATGAAAAGTGTATTTAAAGAGTTTCTGTTTATCTTTCAGAAATCTTTCATGAAAGTCAAATCCATTATACATGGCAGGCAATTTTATTTAAATTATCTTTCCAATCTTGACAAGGATAACTACTTCTATAACTTTAGAAAGAGGTATTGCAATTGCCTAAAATTTCAACGTAAAAAATAAAGGAAGCTCCTTTTGAGAAGCAGCTGCTACGTAAAGTAGGAAGTGATCCATTTTTTCTCTCCTTTTTCCTCCTACTTCTTTCCAGAACTTTCTTAGAGTAGCTACTTTATTTTACTCTCAATTTAGACAAGTATGTGCTCTCGAATTTTGTGTGTGTGTTTGTGACTCCAGGGCCAATTTTGGGCAATGAACAAGATTTCCTTAAGTCTATTTATGACACGGTAGACAACTGTTTCCTTTCTAGTGGGAAGGAATCGGGGTAAGATAGCTAGCAGCCACTTTCATTTGGGGATTGTAATAAAAGAGACTCTGTAGAAGGTTTTTGCATGTCATTATCAGACATTTTGCTAAAGTAGTTCTTTATAATGGAAAAAAAAGGAGTCTTTCTCCTGAGACTATCTAAAGCTCCATGCTGTTCATTAACAGGGCTGAACAGAGAGGTCTTACATCTTTATTCAAAACCAACATTGGCCAAGTCTTTACAGAACTTATTAGAGCCCCCTTTGTTACCCAGGCTACCTTGTTTCTTTAACCTCGCCCTCTGGCTGTGCACAGACCACTCCAGAGAGGGCACATTCAATCTCTTTGCTGTAAATGAGGATGGACTTGCCACTGAGCCAATAAACCAGTCAGTGGGCAGTGGCAATCTGGAGGTGTGTGCTGAGTCTCTCTCTTCACATTATAAAAAAAATATAAAAAAAAAAAAAAAAAAAAAAAACTTGATTAGGGCATCTGGTCCCAGGAACTCAAATTATGAGAGCAGAAAAGAGAAAATTAATATGAGGTGTTGAAACTGAAGATATTCTAATCCTACCTGTGATGAGAACACGGTGTCAAGTGACAGGATGTGTCAGGCCAAGTTCATGGGTCAGAACAGTGATACTCTTCCAATTCTGAAAAGGAAGCATTTTCTTTTTAACAGTTGAAATTAAGAATGCATTTTCAGATTCACCAGAGGATGGATAATCAACTTCATTTCACCCAGGTGAACTGGTCTCCCTTGGCCTTTTCCCTTTTGCCATGAATAGCATGCATGCTCATGCATTTCTTTAAAAAAGCAGCCGAAGATAACATATTTCATGTAATTACCATTGAAACTGCTGAAAATCCCACCTGAGAAAGGTTCTAAACCCATAAAAAGGCTACAGAGTTTTCACATGCTGCCAGCACGCCAGCAGCAATCACCTGAAGCCCTACTATTAAATTTAGAGAACGCCAAGGCACAGGGTCCATGCACAATGAGAAGGAAGACTCAGACTGAAAGCTGGTTTGTTTGTAATACTCTGTGTTAGTGTGAACACACTGCTGCTCCACGGGCTATGCGTGGGGGCAGTCACGTGCGTTCTGATACAGGGGCAAGGGGCAAAGGGCAGGAGGGGAAGGGGTGACAGACGGTGAGATGGCATCACTGATTCAATGGACAGGATTCTGAGCAATGAGTTTGATGATTGTGGAGGACAGGGAGCCTGGCGTGCTGCAGTCCACGGGGTCTCAAAGAGTAGGCCACGACGGAGCGACTGAACAACAACAAACGGGCAAAGCCCGATGAGCCGCCTCCTTAACTGAACAAACACTTCACCTTTCTGTGACTCAGCTTCCTCGTCTATAAAAGGGGCTCAGCAGCAATGCGCATCTCACGAAGTTGTGCAGATAAAATGAGTTACAGAGTGTGCAGCACTTAGAAAGTGACCAGCACACTCCACACTCTGTCAACTGTAATTGTTAACATTTCTGTCAACTGGTTCAACAAGGACATAACAACCACTGCAAAAACATTTAAAAATGGGAGTAAGTAAAAGGAGAACAAGTCAGTATCTAGGTATATGATTTTGTGTTTCTTGGTGACAAAGTTTTGTGAGTTTGGAACTTATTTTCCCATTGGAGAAGATATATTTTTGCTGTTGTTCAGTTGCCAAGTCATGTGCAACTCTTTGCAACCCCATGGACTGCAGCATGCCAGGCTTCCCTGTCCTTCACCTTCTCCCGGAGTTTGCCCAATTTATGTCCACTGAGTCAGTGATGGCATGCAATCATCTCATCCTCAGTTGCCCCTTCTCCTCCCGCCCTCAATCCTTCCCAGAGTCAGGGTCTTTTCCAATGAGTCAGCTATTATATACACATATATTTTAATGGAATATAATTGCTTTCAATGTTGTGGTAGTCTCTGCTGTATATCAACATGAATCAGTCATAATTATATATATGTGTGTGTGTGTATATACGTATGTAATTATATGCACGTGTGTGTGTGTGTGTGTGTGTGTGTGTGTGTGTGTATAACCCTTCCTCTTGAGTCTTTCCCCACCATCCCCCCTTCTAGGTCATCACAGAGCACCAAGCTAGGCTCCTTGTGTTACACAGTAGCTTCCTACTCCTTCTCCACTGTGTCCACAAGTCCGTTCTCTATGTCTACGTCTGCATTTCTTCTCTGTAAAGAGGTTCATCAGTACTATTTTTCTATTTAAGATAAGTTTCCTGCTTGCATTGTGATTTTAGATGTGTTGATAGGTCTAAAGGAACACAAAGAGTGATGATCTTCATGGGGAATGGTTTATTATCAACCTGAAGAGCTGTGGTTTCTCCAGTGCACTTTTTGTTTTCCTGAACATGGAGCCATTAATAAGGGAATTGTGCTTTTTATTATGTAAATCCTATAATATTTTTGTTTGATGATCTATTTTTAACAGCTTTCTTATAGTTTCATATTATTTGTGTCCATGTGTATGTATCTTTCCTTTCAAAAAATACTCTTAAATTTTGTGTATTTTATTGTATGTAACTTTTACCGCAGAAGGGAAAAAAGTGCAAGCACATGCTGATCCCTAGATTATATGCTTGATGAATTTAATGAGTTTTCTATTGTCTCTCACTTACTTTGCAATGCATCAGAAGATGAGATGGGTTAATAAATGGATAGAGGGATGGATTCAAATATGATAAAGTAAATTTTAGAAAAATAGTTATTATAAAATCTATATGGCTGGCATATGAGAATTTACTGTAAAGTTATTTTAGTGTTTATGTTGTTTTGAAAATGTTCTTAATAAAGTGTTGAAAAACAACAAGAATTGTAAACACATTCACTATATTTTCCATTTTATTTGGGGTACCTAAATTGTATTTTTGCCGAAATATTAATTTATAGTAAAATGATTTAAACCTATAAATTTTTATTTGTCCAAATTTCCATGAATAGATTCACATAGAACTTCCCTATAATTTATTTTCCATTAACCACCACACTCATGGCTTTTTCATGGATTCCAGCAAGATTCTGTTAGTTTATGTTTATTTTAGAGCAATGTTTCCTAAATAAATAAATGCACTATATATTTTCTTATAATAATATATATCAACTTTATTCCCTTATAGGCTTTTAATATTATTTTTTGTTTCACTATAATAATTTTGCTTATGTTTTCCATGTGAAGCAAATTATATATATATATATATTCTACAATTAGTTGTTTCTAAATAAATGTATCTTTCAGTACTTAAATATGTACCTAACTTTAGTAGTCAAAGTAGTATTTTTAACATTTCTGGCAATACAGTTGATATATTTTGAAAATAATTATAATAATTTATTTACAATTTGGGTAAACTAGTAACCTTTTTCTTTTTTGCTTGATACTGAAAGTGTCCTTATTAAAAGCTCACATTTTGTAAATTTAAATATACCCAGACCACTTGAAAAAGAGTAGCAACTTTAATTTTATACCACTAATTTTGTTTGTCAACCTTTTGTAACCTTACATTGATCTTATGCCTGTTTTAATATTATTCACTAGTTTTTATTTTTCAAGATGTTTAAACTATTCTTATCACGCAATATTCATATCTGATAATTTTATAGTGATTAACATATGTTATAGGCTGAATTGTGACCCCCTTCCAAATCCATGTGTTGACATCCTAACCCGAGCACTGCAGAATGTGACAGCAACTGCAGATAGGGTCTCTAAAGAAGTAATGAAGGTAAAATGAGGTCATTGGAGCGGGCTCCACTGTGAGTCATGTTCCATATGCCTGATGTCCTTGTAAGAGGAGGAGATCAGGACACAGACATACAGGAGGGACGCCCATCACAGGACTCAGGGAGAAGATGGCCGTCAGCAAACCCGGGAGTCAGTCATCACAGGACACCAGCCCGGCCGAGGTCTGCGTCTTGAACTCCTGCTCCCCAGAATGGTGATATAAGTGTCTGCTGCTTAAGCCTCACAATCTGTGGCACTTCGTGATGACAGCCCTGGAAAACTAATGTAGTGACTACCATTTCTCAAATTATCCCGCAAAGTGAGATGTTCTTAAAATGTTTTAAAATGTTCTCAGATTTGAATATGGATGAATACATTTTATTTCTTTTGGAGAAGATACGGTATGAAACAGCATCAATACACTATCATTTCTGATGCTCATACAGGACTCCTGACAGATGGGTTGAAAAACAGAAACCTCAATCTAGATTTATTTATGTTTTATTCTTGTGACAACATATCTATTGCAAAATTTTAAAAATTAATCAAAAATGGGACAGTAGGTGGTAATATTTTGTAAACTCCTGCTGTCCTTATGGTTATTGTGTCTGGATATTAAAATATCCAGTGACAACATCATACACAAATTTTAAAAGTGCTGTAAATCAAACAACTTGGATGGAATGGATGAAAATGTATTCTGAAAAAAAATGTATTCGATTACTCACATTCATGCCAGAGACTTGTGTGAATAGCTTGAAGAAAATTATCTTATATAAGGGTGGACATATGTATCAAAATTAATATGCCATTCATATAATATGTTAATTAAATTTGTAACAAAATAAATTAACCTTAAAATTAGACGTTTAACTATTTCATCTATACCTTTAGAATTTAGATGTCATTGTTCAGCAAAAGCCTTCTGTGTGTTAATGGACATTCAGTTTAAATATTTCAAATAGGTCTGCAAAAAACAAAAGGAAACAACAAATGAAAATGAAAATACACACACACACAGACACACACATGTTATTCTAAATGTCTGGTGCATTCTTTTTCCTTTATAACCAAAGAAATTGTCCAGGTTATGTTTTTAACACAGTTGAGTAAATGTTTCAGCAAAAGATAGAAGACTGCTTGAAAATGGTTTAACTTGTGCCACCTTAGAGCCTTGCCTCTCTGTCATGTTTGCCGCTTCCATGAGCCTTGCACTGGCGACAGACAATTCTAGCTTCTCCCCTTGTGCAAGTGTCGACAATAAGTGACTTCACTTCACGTTCTGCTAACATTAATGGTTGGGCAGTCCATTGTTTCTGCTATTTATTTGCTTTGCTCATCATACTTTTCCATTTTCACCCAGACTTTGAAATTCCCTGACTCAGGAAAGGGAGCTGATGGCAGAAATGAAAAAGGAAACAGAAGTTAGTGCCCCTTTTAAGTTTTCAAATGTCAAGGACAAGGCCAAAGCAACAGGTTGGAAAAGCCAGCTCCCAAGACTGACTCTCCCCTTGGTCCTTCTAACCATAGGGATAAGGGATCAAACCATCTCTTTGCCAGGGAAGAAAAGGTGTGGACAGTTACTGAGGCAGCCAAGTAGTCTGCCGCTCCAAGAAGGGACCTTGAGTCCTAGGAGTCATAAGCCAGGAAGGGATTTCCAGGCAAGAATACTGGAGTGGGTTGCCATTTCCTACTCCAGGGGATCTCTCCTACCCAGAGATGGAACCTGAGTCTCCTTGTCTCCTGCATTGACAGGCAGATTCTTTACCTCTGAGCCACCTGGGAAGCCCAAGAGGAACACAGCTCTTGTTTAATTGAAAGGCAGGAATCATTAATCACTCTTACAGCAAAACTGTGTAAGACTGAATTGAGGAGTTGTTCAAATACTGATATATGGTCTTAATTGTTTAACAGCCCAGCCACCAACAATGGCAAAACCATATATAAAGTGCAACTATTAAGTAGTAAAGTTATTTTTATAACATGAACCCATCCAGTTAAGCCCATATCAATGAAGCCGTTTATTAAAATAGCTACTTGTTAGACTTAAAAAAAAAATAATCTGTTAGAGAGCCAAATGTTGTGTTTATGTTGTAGAAACAGTGGGAATAGCATTCTGCCCTCAGAGCATACATTCTTTAAACTTGCAGCTAAATTGCTATGTAGTAGAGAAACCACATAGAATACTTATAAATGTAATAAAATACCATTATCTTTTTATTTTATGACTACTGAACAGAATTTTGAGGTAGATGAAATCATATACAAAGCATTTGAGCAATGCTTTCTCCTAAATAATCTCTCCCTAATGCAGATGACACCACCCTTATGGCAGAAAGTGAAGATGGACTAAAAAGCCTCTTGATGAAAGTGAAAGAGGAGAGTGAAAAAGTTGGCTTGAAGCTTAACATTCAGAAAACTAAGATCATGGCATCTGGTCCCATCACCTCATGGGAAATAGATGGGAAGACAGTGGAAACAGTGTCAGACTTTATTTTTTTGGGCTCCAAAATCACTGCAGATGGTGATTGCAGCCATGAAATTAAGTGATGCTTACTCCTTGGAAGGAAAGTTATGACCAACCTAGATAGCATATTTAAAAGCAGAGACATTACTTTGCCAACAAAGGTCCATCTGGTCAAGGCTATGGTTTTTCCAGTGGTCATGTATGGATGTGAGAGTTGGACTATAAAGAAAGCTGAACACTGAAAAATTGATGCTTTTGAACTGTGGTGTTGAAGACTCTTTAGAGTCCCTTGGACTGCAAGGAGATCCAACCAGTCCATCCTAAAGGAGATCAGTCCTGAGTGTTCATTGGAAGGACTGAAGCTGAAACTCCAGTACTTTGGCCACCTGATGCGAAGAGTTGACTCATTGGAAAAGACCCTGATGCTGGGAGGGATTGGGGGCAGGAGGAGAAGGGGATGACAGAGGATGAGATGGTTGGATGGCATCACTGACTCAATGGACGAGGGTTTGAGTAAACTCTGGGAGTTGGTGATGGACAGGGAGGCCTGGCGTGCTGCGATTCATGGGGTCGCAAAGAGTCAGACATGACTGAGCGACTGAACTGAACTGAATGTATCAGATGAGTGACATCCCAGAATTAATTATGTAAAGGACAGATTAGGGAATATCCCTGGAGGTCCAGTGGCTAAGACTTCGCCTTTCAATGCAGGGGATGTGGGTTCAGTCCTTGGTTGGAGAGCTAAGATCCTACATGCCTCATGACCAAAAAAAATAGAAAATATAATACATGAACATATTGCAACAAATTCAATAAAGATTTTAAAAATGGCCCATATCGAAACAAAATCTAGAAATAAAATAAAGGACATATTAGGAATCTCTGCCAAGCCATGTCCTAACTTCTCATCTCAGACCACCACAGACCACTTCTCTGTCCTCCCTAAAATCCAAACTTGTTTCTAAGAGTTTCAGAAGTGCCTTCTTCTTTCCCACTTGGGAGCGTGTGCAGCAGCTGCTCCATCTGCTGGAATCCCCAGTCTCTATGCACTACCTTTTCTTCTGTAGATCCCTGAAAAACACCACCTTTCTCTACTCTTTGCTTTTCTACCACCTCCCTAGTCCTTGCTGCCTCGGACCCCAACTCCACTCTCTCCCTCCCCCATCACCTGACCAATTTACAGATTCTGAGAGTCAGTGAGTGCGTTGACTTTCTTCATAACATGTATCTGACTTGGTGATTATGGTGTCTGCAGGATGGTTATGTGTTTAAGACCTTTTACCTTCTCCCTTATTTTAAAGATTCTTGATGGATCTTAATGCTCCTTCTGTTGCCATCTTAAGTCTGAGATATATGGTAGACACACAATAAACATGTTTCCATATGGTCTTGGTCAGTCTGGGCTTCTATAACAAATTACCACAGCAGGGTGGCTCAATCAGCAGACATTTGTTGTCAAGATCAAGGTTCTGGTGGTTGCTGTCTGGTGAGGGCATTCTCCCCGGGGTGTGAACACTCATCATCTTGTGCCCTCCACTGTTGGAGAGCAGAGAATAGTCCTCCCTCTCTTCCGTTTCTTTAATGAGGAGGGCACCACCCACATGATCAAATTACTTCTCAAGGACCCCACCTCTATCACACTGGAGATTTAAGCTTTGACATATGAATTTGAGGAAGTGGGGAACTGAGGGTGAATAAGACCAACATGTAGCTCATAGCAATGTATTTACCATATAACACTAAAAGGCAAACAATATAAATAATCTTAAATGTTTCTATAAACCTCTGAGCTTATCATTATCCTTTGAAATGGTGAAGGGCAAAGTAGATGATTATCCTAAAAGCATTTTTGAAGTGCTGAAATCTGATCAAGAAACTGATAGAGATGTGAGAATTGGATCATAAAGAAGGCTGAACACCAAAGAATTGATGCTTTCAAACTGTGGTGCTGGAGAAGACTCTTGAGAGTCTCTTGGACTGCAAGAAGATCAATCCAGTCCATCCTAAAGGAAATCAGTCCTGAATATTCATTGGAAGGATGACATTGAATCTGAAGCTCCAATACTTTGGCCACCTGATGTAAAGAGCTGAGTCATTAGAAAAGACCCTGATGCTAGGGAAGACTGAAAGCAAAAGCTGAAGGGGGTGGCAGAGGATGAGATGGTTAGATAGCATCACTAACTCAATGGACATGAATCTGAGCAAGGACAGGGGAGCCTGGTATGCTGTAGTCCATGGAGTTGCAAACAGTCAGACACGACTTAGTGACTTAACAACAATAACAATTGGTAGAGAGAATGAGAAACTAAAGGAAATCTCTGATGGGATTCTCCTGCCTTGAGCCACTTAACCTCTCCATATCTAGTGATTCTGGAGGGTCAGTCAACCTGAAGCATCTCCCACCACACAGGGTCCAAGGAGGAGGCAGTAGGTCTATCCTTTTCAAGTTGCCTTTGGGTATGAGAACAATGACCTTCATTCTTCCAAGGGAAAACCCAAATCCCAAGACAAGACTCTGAGTCTTGTCCTGAGATGAGGAAGAGAGAAACACATAAATATTATTCAGATTCTAAAGAAATATTAGGGAAGTTTGCCTCAGGACATCGTGGGAAAGGTACATTTCTTAAATTTAAATCTAGGGATTCACATTGTCATCCAGCTTTGCCAAATGCTTTTCTTTTTAAAATAAGTATCATCTTTATTCCCTATTTTCAGATAATCTAACATTAGTTCATGTGTTATAATCATGTTTATGTGATTTTTCCTTCTTGTAGTCCACCTCAATTATCCACATGATGGGTCCATCAAAATAGGTCTATAGGAGGTCCCTGGTGGTCTGGTGGATAAGACACTCCCAATGCAGAGTGCCTGGGTTTGATCCCTGGTCAAGGAGCTAGATCCTGCATGCTTCAACTAAAAATCTCACACGTCACAACAAAGAGATCCTTCCTGCTGCAAATAAGACCTGTTGCAGCCAAATAAAAAAAATATGCCAATTAAAAAAAATATGGCAGCCACTATTATTGAGATGAAAGTATATCATTAGAACTGGGGTTTATGATTTTTAAAAAATAGGTTTATAAATATAGAAAACAGATAAATTGCAATCATAGTTTCAAAATGATACAGTTCCTTAAAACAAAACAAAACACTGAAGATGGAGACCAAAATTTCATATCACGGGACAAGGGACAAGTGTTGATTTGCATTTTGCCTTTTACCGATGCCTTGTTCATCTTAATAAAATTGTTACACAGCAAGGCAAGGAGAGCTCAAAACAGTAGGAAGAGGAGGGGAAATATGGGAAGAAATAACTTTATGTGTTAAAGTCAATATATAACAGAATACAGATGATGCACAGAAATTATAGTCTGTAATCCTTTCTGCTTTCCTCTGTATTTTTAGCATGACTCTCTTTCACTTATGTGTATTTTCTCTAGTTCCCAGGATGATTCTTGCTCCTCTGTGTCTCAGGGTCACCTCTTGTGGGACTATAATCTAATCTTCATAGTGTCTCATCCATTTACTAATTCACAAAAATCAGCACAGCCTTCCAACCACAATTCTCATAACAAGGCAACAGATCATTTGTTCAAGGATGTGTCATCCTATGATTTAACGTGAAGTACTTCTAGGGCGGGGACGGGGGTGGAGGATGGATCAAATTTGTGGCAAGATGGCCACAGAGCATTTCCATTAAATCCCTTCTTCTCTCACTCACCACGTCTGTTTAACATAAGAACATTTCTTAGGTAATAGGGTTTTTGAAATGAGGGCATCGTCGTGGTCATTGTTTATTTCACCGATGAATCTTCTACTATGAAGAGGTCTAGGAAGTTACATCAGAAGGTGCCATTGAGAATGTGAGGGCAGGATACATGCTAAAAGGACTTGAAAAGACTTATAAGAGTGATAGAAATAGAAAATACTATACTCGAAAGGCATCCTTAGTTATTTTGCTTTGTTTTTTAATTAACTTTTATTGGAGTATAGTTGCTTACCAATGTTTGTCAGCTTCTACTGTACAGCAAAATGAATCAAGCAGATACATACACATCTGCCTCCCTTTCGGGTGTTCTTCCCATTTAGATCACCACAGAGCACTCAGCAGAATCCCCTGCGCTGTGCAGTAGGTCCCCGTGAGCTATCTGTTCATACATAATATCAACAGTGTATGACGTTCTTAGTGTTTAAACATCTGTAAAGATAACCACAGAAGTCAGAATAACACCAGAAAAGGAAGAAACACACTTGTACGGGCAAGAATTTCTGCATAAAGCACTAAAATTAAATACCCAAGGTGACACAAGTTAACCACAAAAATGAGAAAGAAACCATGAGAGGGGAAGTAAGCAATATGAGAATTTATTTAATGTAGCTCAGGTGAAAACCAGGTATGCAAGGAGTTGTGGATACATCTTTGTGTGCATGAGGGTGAAGGGCGGAAATGTTATATAAGGGAATGTAGAATCAGATGCTTAGTTTTACCGTTGCTTTTAACTCAGCTCTGGGTGCCACACATTTGCATTGGTCTTTTGCCAGGTTCAATCCCTGGGTTGGGAAGATCCCCTGGAGAAGGGAATGGCAACCTACTCTAGTATTCTTGCCTGGAGAATTCCATGGGCAAAGGAGACAGACGGGCTATAGTCCAAGGGGTCACAGAGAGTTGGACTAAAACTTTGGAGCCATGGACAAGAGGAACAAACAGTGCTGCCATCTGGTATGGACTAGGCCTGGGCACAAGTGCTGGGAATTAGCTATCAAAGCCTCCCACATATTTCCAGGAAAGAAGAACACACAATTATTTTTACCTTTTCCCACATGAGATCTGGCAGTGGCATGGAAAATGCTTCTTTTCCCATTTGGACTTGAAAATCTTAGGCAAAATATAATCTTTCTTATGCTTTGAGTAGCCAAGTATACAATGGAACTTGAGTAATAACTGCAAATGACACAAAAACCATTCTGTTTGTGTTCTACGGAGATAACAGAATATGCATAAAAGAAGAAAAGGGTATCTGCCTCATGACAGGAGACCGTTCTTTGTAAACCTTGAATTGACCCTTTTTTTGTCTCCTTCCAAGAACAAGGAAAATAAAAATGCTGTGATTAAGGACTCAGCAGTGGGTGGTGGGTAAATAACATCCAGAAGGATCTACTAATGATGGTACCTTAAAATAAGTGAAGGCAGAGTTTTGTTGGCCAGAAGCCATAGCCTATAATTTATTACGTTATATCCAAAAATTGTGGGGCATGATTCATGAAAAACAGAGAGAATGAGATGTGACGTCAGGAATGGCAAACAGTAAAACTGAAGCTAATTATTAACAGAAAAACCAAGTCAAGGGATGCCCACTCATTTTCTCCTTGAGGCTGCGAACCAGATTCAGGGCAAGACCTCCATCACTTCCTCACTTCCTAAATAAGGACAAAAAGATGCATTCAAAATTAACTCTTAAAGATGTTTGGTAAAATGAGTGTTATTATACAAAAGGGACTTCTGATCATTAACCTTTAGATATTAGGCTGATTTGTAAATTAAGGTGTTTATGTTTGTCTCCATGTAATAGTTGATTCTGTATATATATATATATACATATATACACATATGTAACTAGATTTATATAATACAAGTACTTATATAGCATGCACATATATATTATATATACATGCATATATATTATATACACTTATATATGCTTATACTTATCAGTATATATATCAATACATATTACATATATATGTAATATATGCTTATATATATTTATAATGTACTATCAGTTTATAATATAGATATTCAAATGAATATACCAATTTCTCAGCACATATGTTCAAAATAAAGGTATTGTACATAGAAGTACCTAATAACATTACATGCATGTTAATACTAGTACAACTAGTAAATAAAATCATGTTATTATTAAGTGACGTGAATTTTAAATATTTTTTCAGTATAACCAAAGCAAATGTATACTTTTTCATCTTGTCCTTACCTACTAGGTCTTCAAAGAATCATTGTAAGGTGTTCTTGATCTTGTGGCTTACAGACATCATTTTTTTTTAAGACTTCTTTCTGGCAGTAGTAATCCCTAGAGGTTTTTATACATTGGATATTCCTGGAAAGCATAGTTTTGTTTAGATGTGTCATCTTAGATATAAACAAGAGTTTCTTAGTCCTGCCAATTTGTGATTTTTCAAAGCTTACAAAATTATGTTTAAATATGTGGAATGCACAGGGTGGACAACATTCAGAACCAATATAATATTGATTATTGATAATATTGAATCCAATCTGTCACCCCAGGTGCAGGTGATAAGCAGAGGCCAGGGACTTTCAGAGTCTTTTGAGGACATTGAGTCTACCTCGTTCAGATCAAAACAAGTTCCTAAAGTCAATATTCCTTCATTCACTCACAAAATACTTACTAGGGGTCCAAGTCATTCCAAGAATCCTGACGCTGTACAGTGGACAATTGCTGCTATTTTTGTTCAGTAGCTAAGCCGTGTCCAGCTCTTCGCAATCTCACATACTGCAGCATGCAGGTTCCTCTGTCCTCCACTATCTCCCAACGTTTGCTCAAATTCATGTTCATTGAGTTGATGATGCCATCCAATCATTTCATTCTCTGTCACCCCCTTCTCCTGTCTTCAATCATTTCGAGCATCAGGGTCTTTTCCAATGAGTTGACTATTTACACCAGGTGGTCAAAGTATTGGGGTTTTAGCTTCAACAATAGTCTTTCCAGTGGACACAGACGCAGGTAAAGATAATACTAATCAAAATTTTGTTTTTGTTTTTCTGTATTGAGGCTATCTGTATCTGAGTTATTCAATCTGAAACTAAATGCTTAGGAATAGGCAAAATGGTGTGGATAGCATAGTTTATGCAAGTACAAGAAATTACTAATAGAAATTAGCAATTTTTAACAGAAAAAGGTCATTATGACCTAACAAATTTTAGAGAACTGTGGGTGGGGGAGGGAGGACTTTTGCTACAAGAGAGAAAATAATCAAACTAATGAAATTTTCAACATCTTAGTTTTAAAATGGCAATGATCCTTTCTTTCACTAAAGTTTGGCAATCTTTTTAAAGAAGTGATACCTCGAATGATGTAACAAGAAGCAAATAAAGAAAAATAAATATTAGTACATGGCAGTACTTACTCTATATTTGGCTATAATAGTACACATGATAATTTTGAAAAAATTTAATTGTTTTTCAACAAGTATTTTCGTGTATATCTTGTACTAGGGCACTGCCAAGAAAATCTACCTAAAAATTCTCAGCTACCAAAAATATCTTGATTCTTTGTTAACTGCCTACTTAAAATATAGTACACTATTTACAAATGCTTTAAAGAAAGAAATTATACATTCTGAGTAACACTTCTCCTGTTGTTAAATTTTCTGTTATTTTCTGGGAAGCACTAAGCCTTATTTANACTTAAAATATAGTACACTATTTACAAATGCTTTAAAGAAAGAAATTATACATTCTGAGTAACACTTCTCCTGTTGTTAAATTTTCTGTTATTTTTTGGGAAGCACTAAGCCTTATTTAAAGGAGTTAATTACAGCTTGTATGTAGAAAGAAAAGAAAGGATTAATGGAATGTTTTAACTTATACTTTAAGATTTCAGAGAAATACTCAAATAGTGAGACTGGCCTACCAGCTTCATATATCAAAAAAAAACCTTGCATCCGAAGATGAAAATACCAAGTTATCCACTCACTCTTATTTCATATAAATGGCACCTGGGCAAAATATAGAGTGAATAAGGTTCAGGTGAATGCTTTGTAGTTTGACAACCATGGTGGGACCCTTGAAGTCTACAGAAAGTGCTCACAGTAGGTAAGAATCAATCATTAGAAACATAATTCAGAGTTTCCAAACACCTTAGCATTGGTGACACATGAAAGGGTTTGACTCCTGACAGATATGATCATAGTGCTTATGGACCCAATATTTTTGTCTCCCTCAAATTTCTGTGTTGATACCCTAATGTGATGACCTCAGGGGGAGCTCCTGCATTTCTTGGTTTACGCTCCTCTCCTTCATCTTCAAAGCCAGCATAATATCATGTCTTCTGTTGAGTCTCACCTTTCTGCCTCCCTCTAATAAAGATCCCTGTGCGTTTCAGCTATATAATCCAGCATAATCACCCAATCTCTTCATTCCTTAAAAAAATTAATTGGCTGTGTTGGGTCTTAATTGCAGAATCCATGATATTTAGTTGTTGCATGTGAGCTCATAGTTGTTGCATGTGGGATCTAGTTCCCTGACCATGGATTGAACCCGAGCCTCTGGATTAGGAGCACAGAGTCTTAGCCAAATGGACCTCAAGAGAAGTCCCTCCTTGCCCTTAATTTAATTGTATCTGCAAAGTCTCTTTTGCCATATAAGGTAAAGCATTCCAAAGTTCCATGAATTAGGAATTGGTCATATGTGGGAGGCATTATTCAACCTGACATATCCCCCAAACCTAAACTGAGTCCAAATTTGTCATTTGGGTTGAATGATAAGTCCATATGATGAGAATGTTAGCTGATGGTTGTACTGTTATCCTAGATTTTCATCATAAGTAATGCAGTGGTATCAGCCAACTTAAAGTCATACAATGAGGCACTGCATAATGTGTAATGGATTTTAAAATTAATTAGCTTAAAATAAAATATGTGTAGCTTACCTCCAGGAAATGCAATCTGCGTTTAGATCTAGTTTGTAATTTAAATGATGGCTGTTATTTACCATTTAGGTTTTCTTTTCAACTGAAGTACTATTAAAATATTTGGGTCCCCAAACTAGTGTATCATCTTCAATCCTGATGACAGAGTAGCAGCTTGAATGACTCCCATTGTTGAAGATTCTGAAAAGATAGAATTTGTTTGCATCAAGGGTTACATCCATAAATGGATTTGGAGAATTTAAGGTTCTTTTCAAATTTTCTCTATGCCAATGGTCTTTTACAATACCACCATATAAACACTTAATCTAATGTTTCTACAGGAAGAATAGATTCTGCTATCAAGTCAGTTACTCCTTTTTTTAAAGTTATTCCTTTATAAGTGGTAAAATGTCCTAATATTGTAAAGCCATTCCAAGGCCAAACAATTATTCCATTATTCAAATATGCAAATGAGATTTAGCCTAAGTAATTCAAACTTCTGCCCTTAATAAGAACATATGAAGATATAAAGGTGCTATACTTTTTTTCTGCAAATTTTTAGAGAAAAGGCATACATAAAATGTACAGAAATGATTGCTGACAGGTGGGGAGGCATCCCAGATGCACCTATGTAACAAATAATATCATGTCTTGGATTTGTTCCTATTCAATCCTATGGCATTATATAACTTGTTTCGGATCTTGAAATAGCTTACAAAGAAGGGTTTGCTAAGCAGTTTGGTGTTGTTAAATGGTTGTTCTTCCTATCAACATCAAACATTGCTTTTGTCTTTTTTTTTTTTTAAAGATTTGCATTGTTCTTGACGGTTGTTTTTTCTTTGTGCACACAGAGTGTTATACAGCAGGAGCCTAATCCTTCAGTGCTCCAGGCAGTGGGAAAAATAAAGCCTGATAACTTGGCTTTGTTTACTTGCATTTTCAGTTAATTAAAAAAAATAAAAACAAAATGAAGAGGGAAATCCTTTATTTTAATGCTCAGACTAATTATTTGACTCAATGATTAAATGCACATTTGCCAGTGAGGCTTCCAGATATTTAAGCAGCTGTGAAAGAACTCACAGGAATTTCAAAATGGAAAGGCAAATGGAGCACTTGCTCCCTTTGGGAGCTTTGCAGTCTGCAAACAGGGATAGTGGGGTCTGACTGCAAACAAACTGAATGCTGTTCTCTGAACTCTCATTTGTCTAAAGTCCAGCCGCTCCCCACGTCAGGGGATCAGAGTTTAAGCGATCTGATGCTCAGATTCTTAGGTAGCACCCATTCTGTGAAAACTATTTGGACATAGAATTTTGCTTGAGTAAAGTTTTGTGGCAGCTCAGTGGGTAAAGAATACGCCTACAATGCAGGAGATGCAGGCAGATGCCGATTCCATCCCTGGGTCAGGAAGATCCCCTGAGGAGGACATGGCAACCCACTCCAGTGTTCTTACCTGGAGAATTCAGTGGACAGAGGAGCCCTATATCCATAGGGTCACAAAGTGTCAGACAGAACTGAAGCGACTGAGAGTGCATGCAAAGTATACAATATCAAGCCATCTGAATTAAAAACACTGTCATTTAAATTATAAATATGTGAATCTGCAATAATAATAGATTCTTAAAATGTCATGATGGCTTCCCTCGTGGCTCAGTAGTAAAGAATCCTCCTGCCAATGCAGGAAACTCAGGTTTGATCCATAGGTAGGAAAGATCCCCTTGAGAAGGAAATGGCAACCCACTCCAGTATTCTTGCCTGCAAAAATCCCATGGACAGAGGAGCCTGGCAGGCTAAAACAGGTCAGTCAGGACCACAACTAAAACAACAAAATGTCACGATATACTTTAGATAACTTATAATTCCTTTCTTCTAACTGTGTTTTGGGTACACTACATTGTCTATTATGCAAAGCACGTCCAGAATTTTTTTTTCACTTTCATGGCTTTCTAATTTTTGCCCCTGGGGAAATTTCTACAAACTTTTTCAATAAAAATAATCAATCAGTTATGGCCAAGTCAATTATAAAACAAGAAAGAGATCAACCAAAGCTTGTGGTAATGAATACTGGTGTGTGTGTGTGCGCGCGTGTGTGCGTGTGTGTGTGTGTGTGTTTGTATGCATTATATTCATTGCAAAAGACTAAAGCTGAGTGAAAAAAAAAAATGACTAGAAGCCATCTAACCTTGAGTGTGCCCCAAGGACAGGAGAGTGCTGTTTTCCCACCTCCAAGCCCAACATCCTACCTGCCTAGATTCTGTACTGCCTTGCTTCTTTCTGACTCAGAGAAGGGCCCTGCTTTCCTTTTCAGCAAACTACTGTACAACTTCTGAAATCTGAATTCCAACTTATCTCACTTGCTCAAAGCCTTTGCTTCCACCTTTCTTTCCTTCCTCCTGGAATTTTATTGTAAGCACATAGCATGCTCCTGTATCCACTACATTAACACAACTCTTGGGGACTTCCCTGGTGGTCCAGAGGCTAAGACTCCATGCGCCCAATGCAGGGGGTCCAGGTTCAACCCTCGGTTCAATCCTCAGCCAAATAAACACATATATATGAAAATAAATATTTTTTAAAAAAGAAAGTTCAAGAGAAAACAGCTAACATAAAAGAAAAAAAAAAAAAGACTACCCTTGACCACCCATGTCTCTGAGCTGTCACCTGCTCCCCTTACGGAAAACTACCCATCCAAGTTGTGTCCATCTCCTTCTTTCCACCCTCTCCTCACCATTCTCGGACCTGGTTCCTGATCTTTCCACATCACAGGAACTCCATAATCCAATTCCCCAGTTCTCCCCTGTTTGTCCATACAAGGCTGCTTTGGTACGTCTCCTGTTTTCAGACTCTCAGAATTTCCACCTGGACCAGTTCCTCCTTCTCAAAATGCTGATGCTTTTGAGATAGTACTTGGCATTGTATTTCTTTTCCTTTTGATATTTTCCCCTCTGTACTCCCTTTAGTTATTTTGGAGGCTTTATCACACTATTTTGATCAAACTTGAAATATTAGAGTATCCTGCACTTTTTATCTGAGGTTTTCCCTCTTTTATATTCATGTTTTTTTACACAGGTGATAACATCAAGATGCATGGCTTTGAAGACTGGTAAGATTAGAGCTAAATATTCCCCAAATATCTACCTGACATTTCCACTTCAGTGTTTGAGAAGAGGCTCACGTTTAATCTGTCCAAAACAGAACTCTTGCTTTCTACCATTCCTGGTCCCTGCACTGTTTCCTGCTTTAGGCATTTCCCACTTTAATAGGGCTTCCCAGGTGGTGCAGTGATAAAGGATCTGCCTGCCAATGCAGGAGACACAAGAGACGTGGGGGAAGATCCCTGGAGTGCGAAATGGCAACCCACTCCAGTATTCTTACCTGGAGAATCCCATGGACAGAGGAGTCTGGCTGGCTACAGTCCATGGGGTCGCACAGAGTCAGACATGACTGAAGTGACTTAGCATGCATATTATACATAATATTATTACCAACTACATGCTGAACTAATAAGCAGCAACTTCAGGAATTATTACCACTATGCAAGATGGGAAAGGAAAGGATTTAGAGAGGTGGAGCTTTACTGTCACTATTTCCAATTTATCGAAAATATCCATTTCAAAGCTAATATTTCAAAAAAAAAAAAAAAAGACTACCCTTGACCACCCATGTCTCTGAGCTGTCACCTGCTCCCCTTACGGAAAACTACCCATCCAAGTTGTGTCCATCTCCTTCTTTCCACCCTCTCCTCACCATTCTCGGACCTGGTTCCTGATCTTTCCACATCACAGGAACTCCATAATCCAATTCCCCAGTTCTCCCCTGTTTGTCCATACAAGGCTGCTTTGGTACGTCTCCTGTTTTCAGACTCTCAGAATTTCCACCTGGACCAGTTCCTCCTTCTCAAAATGCTGATGCTTTTGAGATAGTACTTGGCATTGTATTTCTTTTCCTTTTGATATTTTCCCCTCTGTACTCCCTTTAGTTATTTTGGAGGCTTTATCACACTATTTTGATCAAACTTGAAATATTAGAGTATCCTGCACTTTTTATCTGAGGTTTTCCCTCTTTTATATTCATGTTTTTTTACACAGGTGATAACATCAAGATGCATGGCTTTGAAGACTGGTAAGATTAGAGCTAAATATTCCCCAAATATCTACCTGACATTTCCACTTCAGTGTTTGAGAAGAGGCTCACGTTTAATCTGTCCAAAACAGAACTCTTGCTTTCTACCATTCCTGGTCCCTGCACTGTTTCCTGCTTTAGGCATTTCCCACTTTAATAGGGCTTCCCAGGTGGTGCAGTGATAAAGGATCTGCCTGCCAATGCAGGAGACACAAGAGACGTGGGGGAGGATCCCTGGAGTACGAAATGGCACCCACTCCAGTATTCTTACCTGGAGAATCCCATGGACAGAGGAGTCTGGCTGGCTACAGTCCATGGGGTCGCACAGAGTCAGACATGACTGAAGTGACTTAGCATGCATATTATACATAATATTATTACCAACTACATGCTGAACTAATAAGCAGCAACTTCAGGAATTATTACCACTATGCAAGATGGGAAAGGAAAGGATTTAGAGAGGTGGAGCTTTACTGTCACTATTTCCAATTTATCGAAAATATCCATTTCAAAGCTAATATTTCAATTTATTAAACATGAAAGATAATAATATACTAATATATATTATGTGAAAGTAACTGATTACTCCCTTTATTTTTTTTTGAGAATCCTAACTTAATTTTTTTTCTTTTTTAAATTCAGGTACAGTTGATGTACAATATTACATAAGTAACAGGTGTATAACAGTGATTCACAATTTTAAAGGTTATATTCCATTTATAGTTACTATAAAATGCTGGCTATATTCCCTGTGTTCCACAGTACACACTTGGAGCTTATTTATGAATGTTTTATACAATAATTTGTATCTCTTAATCCCCTACTGCCTCTTACCTCTCCCCCCCATCCTCTCTCCCCATTGATAACCACTAGTTTGTTCTCTGTATCCAAGAGTCTGTTTCTTTGTGGTTATATTCACTAGTGTGTTTTATTTTCTAGATTCCACATAAAGTGATATCATACAATATTTGTCTCTCTCTGTCAGACTTAATTTAATCTTTAAAGCAGAGTTAACAGGAGTTAATTGACATAACTGCACCTATTAACATACACACTTGATAAGCTTTGACTTAGGAATGTACTGTGAACCATTAGAGCAATCAAGATCATGAGCATTTAATCAGCAGCAAAAGTCTCCTCTTACCCTTTCCTCCCCCTTGTTTATTTTCTATGATACGAAAATAATTCATAATTTTAAGATTTTAAATAGTTTAAAGGAGGAGAAAAGGAAGCCATCGGTATGTGAAATTAAAGTACTGGAAACGTACCTCACTGGACTTCTACCCCAGAGCAGGGCTGGGGTGAGCTGGTCCTGCTCTGTGAGGACCTTGATTGAGGCTTTAACACCTCGTGGAGGATAAGAGGCCATTGGATCACTTCCCTCTCTTCATTTAAACCTGTCCCCGTTTTACCACTTTGACCTGCCGCGTTGTCCACAGAGGGGTAGGTGGCCACGCGTTCGTCACCTCTCAGAGAAAATGGCCGTTAGACTTGGCATGCAAAACACGACTCTTCCTATTTAGACCTTACTTTTCTGGATTTACTCTTCATAAAATGTCTTTTAAAAAATCCACTGTGAGGTGTTTTAGACAGATACAATGTCTCCATTTGACATTTTCCTAGGTTGGTTTTCCACCAAACAGACCCTGAGACAGGAACAGACAGGTGCGTCAGGAAGCGGGAAAGCAGACAACACAGCCCACCCAGGCGTGCTCCTGAGCGACGGCGAAGGGCGGTCCGGCTGCGGCCAAGCCCCGCGAGACTTGACCTCTGGGCTCCGATACTTGCAACTGCGGAAATGCTCTCCCAGCCAGCCCACTCGGACAACGTAAGCAGAGGAGCAGCAGGTCAGACACCAAGAGACGGGCGGCGCCGTGGCGGTGGCACGGATGGTCAGGAGGAAATGCAGCCAGGGGATGAACGTGGTCCAGCAGAAGAACTAAAGTTCCTTGAGAATGCATGTGATTATATTTCATTTATTCCGTGAACAAATTTAGACTGGACACTTACTGAATTATGTGATTTTTTTTTTTTTTTTATCACCTTCAGAGAAGGCAATGGCACCCCACTCCAGTCCTCTTGCCTGGAAAATCCCAGGGACAGGGGAGCCTGGTGGGCTGCAGTCCATGGGGTCGCTAAGAGTCGGACATGACTGAGCGACTTCACTTTCATTTGTCACTTTTATGCATTGGAGAAGGAAACGGCAGCCCACTCCAGTGTTCTTGCCTAGAGAATCCCAGGGATGGGGTCGCACAGTGTTTGACACATTGAAGTGACTTAGCAGTAGTAGGGACAAGTAGATTACTTTGCTGAAAAAGCACTCAATATTCAGATTGTTCTAGCTAAAATCATAAACTTCTCACATAAATGTAGGGCTTCCCAGATAGCTCAGTTGGTAAAGAATCCTCCTGCAATGCAGGAGACCTGGGTTTGATCCCTGGATTGGGAAGATCCCCTGGAGAAGGGAAAGGCTTCCCACTCCAGCATTCTGGCCTGGAGAATTCCATGGACACGACTGAGTGATTTTCACTTTCACTTCACTTCACATAAAGGTACTTTCTCACATGATAAAATTATTATGTCTCGCTAGCCTAATCGTTCCTAATATGTATTGCCGTGCTGTGTGCGTTAAGTCGCTTCAGTCATGTGGACTCTTTGCAGCCCTGTGGACCATAGCCCACCAAGCTCCTCTGTCCATGGGATCAGCCAGGCAAGAACACTGGAGTGCGCTGCCATGCCCTCCTCCAGGGGATCTTCCTAACCCAAGGAAGGAACCCACCTCTTCTGCACTGGCAGGCATATTCTTTACTACTAAGCCACCCGGGGAAGCCCAATAAGTACTAAAATGTCCATTTATTAATTATACTGATTAATTGCAATTAATTATACTAATTAAAATATTTCTAAAAGTTAAGTGATTAATGTTCAATTAAATGAAACATTTTATAATAATCACTATAAGAAGAAATCAACAAAAGTAAATTGATAATAAATGGACTCTTCAAGAAAAATAACAATAACAATTACAATAATAATAATACTGTTGCTGCTGCGGCTGCTGCTAAGTCGCTTCAGTCGTGCCCAACTCCTAGTGGATGGCTCCTCCATCCAGGGGATCCTCCAGGCAAGAGTACTGGAGTGGGGTGCCATTGCCTTCTCCGAACAATAATACTAGCAAACATCAATTCAGTGCTTCATTTGCACAATTCTTAGCTTTCTATATAAACTTATTGAATACTAACAATATCCTATGAGTTAAATAGTGCCATTATCATTATTTTCAGGAAGTACAGAGTGATTAGTAACTTTTAAGAAAAAAGTAAAATGAAATTAAAAAAGTAATTTTATAAACCATTACATAATCTTTCTTTTTCCTTTCCCTTTTTTCATTTCCTTTAGAGCAGCAGACTTGGGTAGTTAAATGGTGCACACACAAGCTTGTCTAGGAGCTCAATTCCTATCCTAGCTCTGCAACTTTGAGCAAGTTGTTCATTCCTTTAAAAGTAGCAAGTATTAAAGTTAGGTGTGAGCATAGATAACATTTTATGACAAGCAGATACATTTCTGAAAATAAGAAATTAACAAGAACATTGACATTGACTTATAGTCTTTGCAAATGTCCTTAGTAGAAAATACTGTAGCTGTTTAGTCGCTAAGTTGTATCCAGCTCTTTTGCCTCCTGTGGGCTATAGCTCCCCAGGCTCCTCTGTCCATGGGATTTCCCAGATGAGAATACTGGAGTGGGTTGCCATTTTCTCTTCCAAGGGATCTTCCCAACCCGGGGATTGAACTCCCATCTCCTGCATTGGCAGGTGGATTCTTTACCACTGAGAAGCCTAGTAGCTGTAATCTTATATCAGCTTCTGTACATAATCTATTGATATAGTACATGATTGGCTTCTAGAAAATGCCACCATATACACATAACAGAATGAGCAAAAAGGCAACTAACATCTTATAGTTACTGTGAAACTCGTGAGCCCTGAAGGTGTCTGAGGGACTCACACACAAGATCTCTAGCACACACTGGAAAAACTGCTGCTAAAGCACCAATATATAGAGTTAATTTAGAAAATTCACTCAAAAGTAAAGGTCCCAGGAGGAAAACTATAAAAAAGTTTATAAGATACTATCTAGACAAATCTGACAACTGATTGGCTACACTTTCCAACTTTCCAGTGACTTTTGCTTATTATACCTATGTATTTAAATCTTTTATGATGATTTTAATATGGTCCATCTGAGTTTCAAAAATTAATCTAGGAGATTAATAATATTTCCAGAAGAAAGTCATCTTCCCATGGGATATCAAGATACAAAAGAAAGAAAATGTCCAAATGCTTTCAGAATTCCAGAATCCTTGATTTACTAATTTACAAAAAGACAAACTTAGATATTTTCTTTTGCTGTGGAGCAGAAGGAAGGTGGGTGTCAGAATTTCGTGTCTCATCATACAAGTACAGTTCATTAGGTTGTATGTATGAGAACCAATTAAATACTTATTATTAAAGGTCAACAGCCAGATACAAGCTGCAGAACCTTTTTTCCCTTGATCTGCAGAAAGAACATCAAGAGCCTCATCTAGAAACTCATACTGTTTTTCAGAAGTAGGTATTTCTTAAAAAATCTAGTTTAGTTTCTTCTAAAATAATAGATATCAATTTGCCTTTTTAATATATTTCTTTCAATTAAAATGCTTAACATTGAAGAGTAAAAACATTTACAAGTGATTCTATTAAGAAATCAAGGATTTTTTTTGGGGGGGGGTGGGGTATTGTTGGTCATAATGATAATACTCTCCACTCACAATTATCAACCATTGGTAATGAAAAAAAGTTAAACTCAACATGTTTAATTCAGTGGATTATTAAATTGTGTTGAGTAATTGATTCAGTTATTATTGCTGAACTCTCTTTAATTCTGAATCACTTAAGCAGAGAAACTGTTCTCAGTGGTATTCTGCCTGCACTCAAAAACAAGGGAAGTCATGGTAGTTTTGGGCTTCCCAGGTGGCAAGCGGCACGCTTGCCAGTGCAGGAAACGTGGGTTTGATCCCCTGGGTAGGAAAGAACCCCTGGAGGAGGGCATGGCAACCCACTCCCGTGTTCTCGCCTGGAGAATTCCACGGATAGAGGAGCCTACAGTCCATAGGGTTTCACAGAGTCGGACACTACTGAAGTGCCTTAGAATACACGATGTACAGCAAGCTTTGTTCTTTTCTTAGATTGTTATCTTGATTTGCTGTGTTCATCCTTCTTTTCTTTCATCTCATTCGATCTATACCCCAAGACTCAACTGAGCACTATTATATTCAAACTGGGAAATATCACCTTGATTTTCTCTACTTTTAAAAATCAATATGATACTGAACTCTATATTTTCTTATATTATTTTAGTGTACATGCATCATTACTATAAATAAATTGTGAACTTTTAGGAAGTCAGGAGCATTATCCTAGATCTACTTATATTCTCTGAATATGGGACCATGACTTGAATGTATTAGGACCTCATAATTTTTCATAAAAAAATAATTACTAGAAATTGACAATGTTAGTGTAAAATATGATCTTGACAAATACAAATTATGTGTAAGACTGTTCCTTATTAAGACCCAGAAGTTGCAGTCACATTTAGACAAAAGATAATATATGGTGGTATTAACATTTCAGAGAGAGGAACTTCTATTTGAGTGATCCAGATAATCAGAGAAAATTCATCTTTTAAGAGGCAAAGTGAGTGAACTTTTACATGAGATATCAATAAATAAATAAATAAATAAATGCCATTTGTCCAGAAGGTGACTGAATTTAAAAGTTTGGGTTGCCAAGCAGAATGTGATATTTTCACAGAAATTCACCAAGCATGTCCTTTGTGAAGCATGCCACTAATTAGACATCTGTGAGCACCTTATGCTTGATGAATTAAGCAAGAAACAACTTCTCTTTCTTACGGAAAACACACCCACAACTTCCAAAGAAAAATTATCCACATCTGAAGGTTTCAAGACTGTCACAGTAATGAATTTTATTTCTTATATTTAAACTGCTGAAGATGGTTAATGGTTCTGAATTATTAAAATCCATTGTAATAAGTAGTGATGCCTAACATTTACTAAATGCCTTGTATCGTTCTCAACATGAGAATGAACTCTTCACACTGAAAAGATGCAGGTTTAAAAAAATAAGAAGATGCAGGTTTTATTCTTACAAGGCTCCAAAGCTAGTGCATGACAAAGTGGGGGTTTGAACCTAAGGCAATTGATTTGCAGACTCTGTGCACTTAGCCATGACACTGTATTATTCAATATAAAAAAGCTATATATATTCAATGGAATATTTATAGCAGACTGATGAATGTCAGACCTGAAAACTAGATTACCACTGACAATTTAGAGAAAGCATAGTATACCTTAAAAACAGTTATTAATAACATTTCATTAAGCAAGACAATCTTTTAGGAAGAGTAGCAAAATGTTTGGAGTTCTTATGCATTTTTTACATTTTGTAAAGGGTATACAATGAAACTTGGAATTTAAGACAGATGGAAGGATAAAAATAAGTATATTACATTTTATTGGGTACTTACAATGAATAGAGCATTGAGATAAGTCCTTTATAGGCTGTTTTAACTAACCCTCCCAAACCTTTAGAAGTAGTTACTATGTTGAAATCATTTTATGC